GCCGAGACATTGCCCAGTCACACTGCAGCCCGTCAAACGCGTTAACGCAGACATCGTTGCTCGAACTAAACGTGATCGGATGGGTTATATATAGTTCTTGTATAGGAGACTGTGTGTTTGCATGTCGCACCGATTGCTGTGCTCTGACGGACACAAGCTGGGGGAAAGGAGTCACAGTCCTGGATCTCAAGGAACAAATGTTAGCTAACGTCGCATTTGAACTACCTACCAGACCTCCGTTTCTTTTCTCCTTGGCAAAGGATTTACATGATTGTTATAACACCCATCGTCAACTCAACCCTGCTTTAGAAAATAGTTATAGCCAGGTAGATGGCAAGAGAAAGCTTCCTTGAGGCGATATGCATCTCGTAGTTTCATTTCAAATGTCTACCAAACGCCTTGCAAAATGCGTCATCAACACCAACTGCAACCTAACCCAACTTGTCGTGTCAAAAAATCCCAATTGTACTTGTACATATAACAATTCGTCAAAACTCAGTACCGATAACCCCCGTATTGACCAGCAGGTGGTGGTATTCCATAGGCGCCAGCAGGAGGTGGCTGCCATGATGAAGCCGTGGCACCACTGGCATCTGGTGGCGGAGCGTAAGGATTTGCAGCAAACGCATTTCCGCTCTCTGTCCTCAGTGGCGAGTTCCTGTAAGCTCCCGATGCTGCGGCCATGCGTCCGTACGGACTGGTTGGCCGGTTGCCAAAATCTCCAGACGCCTGTCTACTGTGATTCGCAGACGTGATGCGATATTGACCGCCAGTTTTAGCTTTCCAAGAAGCATAGTCCGGTAGCTGGGTGTCGCGAAGCAATGACACCATGATGGTCGGGTTGAGTCGGGTGTCGTCGTAAGTGGGTGCTGGCGGCAAAAGGCTTAGGAGGAAAGTCACGTCTCGGGGTAGCGCCGATGTTTGATTACGGCGCTGTTGGTCGAGACGTCGTCCAGCTGCTCCTTTCAAGGGGGAAGCCCCTCTAGCAATTCTCTTTGGTGGATTGAGGTCCTCGTCTTCAATGCCAAACGGGCGCTTGGGCGAGGCGGTGGCTCGAATGAATTGTGGCCTTGGGCTTTGTTCCTGCCGGGATGGTGGAATACTCTCCCTTGTAGAGATGGGTTGTTCAATCGCAGGGATAAGCTGTTTTGGTCGCATCTGCACAGCCTTGGATATAATGATTGGTGCCGCTACAGGATCAAAAGTTTCGGTTGAATATCGTGAGGTGAAATAACTCAGCTTGGGATCCTCTGGAAACAGTTCTGCCATACGAGCTTCTAGCTTCGAGATCTGTGAAAGCTCCCCGTACTGCGATTCATACTTGTGGAAGTAAGCATAGAGTTGTTTGGCCTTTTGCAGAGTTTCTGGCTTAGATACCAAGCGGTTGACACATGTTTCGAACACAACGCGGGCGTCTATACAAATCGATTAGGAAACCCGAATTCAATCTAAAACGGGGGTGACTTGGAAAAAACAACTCACTTGTGGTGTCATCCTTGGAATGGAGGTACTTCAAGTATTCTACCATGAATCCAGCATCATTGGGGAAAAGTCGCGCACCACGCTCGAAGATTTTTGCCCCGACAGGATCCTTATAAACCACCGATTCCAACAAGGCCACTGCGACATAGACATCGCTCGTTAGACGGCCCTTTTGTCGCGCGTCGGTGAAAACTTTTCGTAAGCCACCCTCAGTTTGATTACCTTTCCCTTGAATACGTCGCATGGCGCGAGCCATGGCGATCCAGACATAAGAAATTGTCTTTGACAGGAGATGTGACTCAGCAGCGTACGCCTGTTGAATGGCAGCAATACGCTCTTCTGTGGGAGACTTTCTAACCTTCTTCTCCTCATCGTCGTCGTCATCGTCATCTTCCTCTATAGATTCTTGGACAGCGGGTTCATTTGCTGCAGCCTGTTTGAGGGTGTTGACTTCAAGCTTCTCCCGTTCTTTGACTTTGTCGCCCATTTTGTAGAGGGTATCCAATACAGCGTCGTAAGGTTTCCGCACTGCCTTGGCATATTCAGATTTTTCTCCTTCTTTCTCTGGATAGTTGGCTTCGATATGGTCAGCGTGTTTGAAGGCAAGCAACACGCTCTCTGGGTTGGCGCTGATGCCTTGAAGCAGCATTTCGGTGCCAAGAACCTTCTCATTTTCTCGAATGTCGGCTTCAAAGCACCAAGCGGCTGCATTAACCCAAACTTCGGGCCAAAAGCGTAGGGCCATTAAGGCTTGTTTGTAGCAATACAGAATCCGCTGCTTGTATGCTTTCGGCTCGTCGTCCTTGAGGACCAAAGGATCTTCCAGTTCCCAAGCGATCCACTTCTTCCACATTTCAACTTGGGCATGGAATTCCTCATGGCCATCAAAGCCTTGAGCGGGAGGCAGCCGTGGGAGATTTTCTCTCTTGAGGTTTCGTGTGATGTTGTCCAAAGCAATGTTGGCGCTCTTCGCCGACATGTATCCCGGTGATCTCTCTTGGATGAACTTACGACCCTATTCCATCAGGTTAGGTTAGTTACGAAGTGAAGGCTATTGCAGTCGTTGGAACGTACAGTAACTTTGTTCAGGCCCATCTCGAATTGATCATACTCTTTCCATAGAGTATTCACAGTTGACATAGGGACGGCGATGGCACGATGATATGCTTTGCGGAGTTGATCCATCTTTTGTTGATCCTGCCATCCTGTGCCACCAACCTGACCTGGGCCATTTTTGATGAACTGAACATAGTCTTGCCAAATATTACCCGAATCACGGTCAAATCCAATGGTGTCAATGACAAACTCGTATGACTGAGTGACGGTACGTCGGGCCTGACCGGTTGGGTCATTTGTCAGGTCATTCCGACGTCGAATATAATTAAGATATAACGTCCAAAGCTTGACGTTGGGCACAGACATCAGACATCTTCCAAAGAGTTGTTCAGCGTCGACAAAATTATCAAGATTGAGTTCCATTTCAATCCATTCAACCCAAATATCAGCCTATGAAATGGCTTCGTGTCAGTCGCTAAACGGTATTCTTTATTCAGATGTTATAACTCACCGCTTGGGGAAACACTTCGAGGAAACGGTTGTACAGTAAGCGGAGTTCGTCAAGCCTGCCTCGACGCTTATGATCGGCCATTAGGTTGATCCACGCATCCATGTCTCCACGCGGGTCTTCCTGAATGCGCGCCTCCAAAAGTACCACGGGATTCACTCCAGCCAGCCCAAGAGGTGCATTAGGAAGCGCGCCGGCAATGGGAATGGGCGTAGTGCCATTGCTGGTTTGGTTGGCATTGGCCGCAGCCGAATTTCGTGCTCCAGATGGAGCGTCCTGGTTATCGTCCTCTTCATCATCCGACACCTCGACCAAAAACCCCCCCGACATCTTAGGTTTGTTGGCTGGTCTCTGCGACGGTGTCCCGGACGCAGACTTGTCAGGTATGTGCGAGACACTGTCAAAACCGACAGATTCGGGATCATATTCGCCTCCATCGTCCTGGTCCTCTTCATTTTCATCAATACGCTCGGCAGCTTCGCTCACAGCTTCCGACGTTTCCTCAGGCTGGTCGAGACCTGCGCTCAGCTGCGCGAGCGGATCATATTCCACACCAGAACCCTCCCCTTCCCAAGCAGCATCTTCCGTGGCCATTTTCACGAGCGCACTTGTATTCTTTATATTAGAATATGATGGAGAAGTCGCGATATACGTGGTCGTTGGCGGGGTTGTAGTCCAAACGAGGCAAGGGACGTAGCTCCGTCTCGATGAAATTGCAAGAGGAACAGGCGGGAAGTATATGAGAGACACTCGAGTTGCGGGGGAAGAAATATAATGCTCTGTAAAATGGCTAAGTAACTGATGCTGCGGTAGGATCATGCAATGCCTGCAGGCGACTCGCTGAAATGGAAGCTTCGCCTGCTGAGTGGCGATTCCAAAGCAGCTCTCCACGACCGGCGAAGACGCGAGACGTCGGTGAAAGGCGCAATAATGTTAAAGAAAGCAAAATAACAAAACAATGCGATAGCGATACGATGGTCTGCGGCCTGTGCTGGATGTCGGGTGGCACCAGCAGCAGGATCAGGCTGTGATTGACAGCTCTTGAAGGTGTTGATGTCCTGAGAAGCTCGTCGCAGAGTCGCAGGCAAAAAACAAAGAATAGCTAGTCCAAAATGGGCGGGCGGTGAGCCCTTTGTCTCTGCATGGACCAGTGAGCGCCCCAGGAACCAACTCAACCGATAATTTGGATCCCCGTCACAGGGGTAGTTTAGAGGACGAGGACAAGTCCAAGTACCAGACAATGTGCGAACTGCTGAGGATAGGTTGTAAGTTGTTTTGTCACCCCGTATGAGTCCAATACATAATATCAGTCTCAAGCCCTTGCCTACAGGGCTACTTACTAATGCCATGCAAACACACATGGCCAAGTACTTATATATTTCGTATCATCTGGTTTCCCCTACTGGTATCTACCTAGGTACCTAGTACTAGTAGACGATGTCCAGGAAGGCGCGACTCGACGATAGGGTACCTGCCTAGATGCTCCAGAAGGGCAACGACTTGGAACCCACAGTCAGCCTCTCAACGCGCTGGTGGCCATCAAGCGCGTCCCACCTTCTCGCTGTCACGCACTTGACATGCGGTCCCTCATTGAGCCTCCGTCCGCCACGACTTTTCTGCCACCCGGTAGACTTGTTTGCCTTCCTCCAGTCCACGCCAGCCTCCTTCGTCTCTATCGACAGGGTTCTGCCTCCCTCCAGCACAAAGCTTGATTTTGTTGACTTGACAGCGCGTTCGTCTCTGCCACACTCCAAATAACGTGTCGCCGTTTGCTGAAGCGCTCGATCAATTTGCGCGCCACCTTCCCGCACACCGTCACCGCTGCTCTTACAACCAACTGCAAACTTTCCACATCCCCTGCCCATTTGCATTCGACGGATTCAACCCAAGTTGCGCGTACCCTACTTCGACGCAAAGCTAGCGTTTCGTTTTTCGAAAGATATACTCCATCAACATGTCCGTCGTCTCGCTACTAGGTGTCAAGGTGCTGAACAACCCGGCCAAATTTACCGACAAATACGAGTTTGAGATCACATTCGAGTGTTTGGAGGCGCTCGAGAAAGGTACAAGCTGTGAAACGTGCATCCATCTATGCATTCAAAGCCTACAGAATAGCTGATTGTACTCTAGACCTTGAATGGAAGCTTACTTACGTCGGTTCTGCTACCTCGTGAGAACCACCTCCCAGCGTCATTATTATACCTGATCGACGGACGGTAACTGACCCGGCATTTTAGCGATCAATATGACCAGGAGCTTGACTCACTGCTGGTTGGACCGGTCCCTGTCGGTGTGAACAAGTTCTTGTTTGAGGCCGATGCTCCTAAGACTACACGAATTCCCGACGCTGATGTTCTTGGAGTTACTGTGATTCTCCTAACCTGCGCTTACGATGGTCGTGAATTCGTCCGGGTAGGCTACTACGTTAATAATGAATATGATTCTGAGGAACTTAACACTGATCTCCCGGCCAAACCCATCATTGAGCGCGTGCGGCGCAACGTGCTTGCTGAGAAGCCCCGTGTCACCCGCTTCGCCATCAAGTGGTATGTTGAGCGACCCTTCCAGTTGCTTGCTGTCAGTTTTCTGATCATGCTAATGAATCCCATAGGGACTCCGAGGCTTCGGCCCCCCCTGAGTTCCCTCCAGAGCAACCCGAGGCAGACCTTGTTGCAGATGGGGACGAATACGGTGCCGAGGAGGCCGAGGAAGAAGCTGCTGCCGAAGCCGCCGAAAAGGCTGAACTCCAGCCTGGGGAGGACGCTGAAATGGCTGGAGTTGAACAGGAGAATGGGAACGCCGAAGAGAATAGGCCGGAAGAGGAAGAAATGTCCGAGGATGGCAGTGTTGATATTGAAGGGGAGAGTGAGGACGAACTCGACGAAGAGGAGGAGGCTGAGGCTGAAGCTGGTGAGGACGATGCTATGGAAGTGGACGACGCCGAAAAGCAGACCGACGCCCCAGCTGCCAAGCCCGTCACCGTTTCTTCCTAACGGACTTGCGGCTAAGATACGTGATATCGACACACCCTTTCTGGCCAACCTTTTTGGAAGGATTATTATGCCATCTTGCTCATCGGTCTTCTTGGATGCTACTTTAGGGTGGGTGAGCGCGTTCGCGAATCAAGCAAGGTTGGTTAGTAGATGAATGAACTATAGAGCTATGACGGTTACGAAACAGGATGATATCCAGGGAGGTAATAGGGATGCGGTGGTTGATTACATAAGAGTTCGTATATTATTACTCGGGGATAGAAAGAGCACGGTGGATTACAAAGTCAATTTACACTACTTGCCACGGTAAAAGGGTATCCAAGAGTGTTCATTCCATGCCTGGGTTTGACGGGCTGATGTGCTGTTCATTGTCATTGTCATTCCTTGTTGATTTGATCTGACACTGCCTTGTCTAGCCCTGTTGTAATATCTTGATTGCCCATCATCCACGTGACATTCATTATCATAAATCATCAAATTTAGGTCGTCAAATCATGATTCAGGAAAAAGGGGAAAGAAAAGACCGGGCGACCTCCTCATTCACACCAACCAGGTCCTCCATTATATTATACCTTGCCCAGCTCCCCTTCTCCATTACATCTCTTCTGCCACGGCCACTTCCAGCGACTACTGACGGGCGGCTGTTCATTCGCCACTCTCATCCTGAGCCTTCTCTTGCGGCCCTTTGCCAAGTGCAGGGATTGATTATCAGGCGCGTCCTGTTCGAGGGCCCCGGTAAACATTCTGTAAGGAAACGTGACTACCCGAAGGATGAATCTGTATAATTCTCCCACGACGACGGTGAATATGCGTGTTTGCAGGAGGAATATCAGCGCCATGAAGGGGATGCACACGAGGACCATGGTGACTGCGAAGCGCCAGTCAGTCGCGGGAATCGTGAATTCCGTAATGCCAAAGACGGACTATTTTTTTTTACGAAATGTTAGTTACCCATTTATTCTTCTTTTCTTCTTTTGTAACTGCCTCGTCTCGGGATAAAGGGGCTCACTTGCAGTGACAAAGGTCAGCGGCAGGAAAATCATGCTAATCATGGTCAGGATGCGGATGTTGTCGCCCTGGTCAATGGCCCTCCTGCTCTCCTTGATGGAGCTCCCGCTGAACAGCTGGTCCCTCAGGTTCTCAATCTCCTTTCTGGTGCGCTCGTTGCGCTTCAGCACCTCGCCCAGCTCGGCGACGGCCTTTTCCAGCTCGCGGCGCAGGAGGGCCATCTTTGCGAGGTACGCCTCGCCCGAGGGTGACGAGGGCGAGGGATGGGGCCAGAGGACCGGGTGGTTCCCGGACCAGAAGTCGTCGGTGAAGGTGTCGAAGTAGGCGCCCACCATGGCCTTGATGCCCGTGTTGATGACGGCGAGGGTGTTGTAGGCCCAGAAGTAGCGCCGGATGTAGGTGAAGTGCTTGTCTTCGAAGAGGAGCTTGTCGCGGAGGCGGCGGTCGAACATGAACTCGGTCTGCGGGCGATTAGGACAAGATCCCG